ACTATCACCCTCATTGTCATTAACATCATCCTCTTCAGCGATTGCAGAAACAACACCCCCTGTATTACCCTGCTCGCTATCCTCACCATCAATACCCTCCAACAAGGCATCCTTTAGACACTCGGCTGCAACCTTCTCTACATCAACCTCGGTGGTTTCTCATCATCAGCAGCTGCACCAACTGTTTTACCAACCTCCCCCAAAATGGTATCAACCTTAGTGTGTTTATCCATCGATAAAGTATTCTTAACAGCCCTTTTCAGTGGTTGCCCTGTTGCAGCCGATGCGGCCAGACTCTCTTTAAACATTTCATTCATATTGTACAACATCTTACCCGTTTTCTCATCAATTGCATCCATGAACTTTGGAGTCAACTGATGCACCACCCTAGAAACCACCTGTATACATAAAGAATTAACTAAGCAATACCCAACCAACCATGAACTGAAAATCTTTTTAGCCGTAAAATAAAACTAAAACTAGAAAAATTATCACCAGGCTAGGCTATCATCATGGTAATCTAGATGAAGACTCAAAAAGCATATGTCACAATTGACCACAATCATCAACATACTTAAAAGGAATGATTTTCTCACAGCCCTATGTCACATAACATTTTCATTTTGATAAATTAACTACAAGATTTCCATTTTGATAAATTAACTACAAGATTTCCATTTTGATAAATTAACTACAAGATATCCATTTTGACAAAGTAATTATATCACAAATTCCTTTGTAAAACTAGTTGACACAAATGGAAGATAACCAACTCAGGCCCTAAGCAAGAAAAAAATTATCGAACTATAACGTAGAACAAAAAGCCATCTAATTCATTCCAGACCTGCTCAGTGATCCCATCCACATCAACAGCAGGTGCAGGTGCAGGTGCAGGAGCTACCACTAGACCGTCACGGGGTGCTAGCGGATGCTCCTCCCCATAGGCAATATTCACTAACTGCACAACAAACAAACTTAATCAAATGAATACACAATTACACAATAAACACTGATGTCATGTAACAGAACAATGATTTTAACACTAACAAGCGACATACCATAGTCCCCTGTCTTCTTTTTATCATCTTGTACAACTTTATTAATTTCTTCCTGTGACCATGCCGCCAACCTCGGAGTCAGTCCCCAAGACTTGGGTACCCGATCCAGATGGTCAATATAAAAGATCTACAACATGGGATTACAACATGAATGCATTAAAGATTTTGTTAACAACTAATAATAAACAATCCCTCAACTTGTAACAATCTAAAACATTAATCAACTACGATTTATAAGATACAGTACCACATTGCTTACCAGCACAAACAAAATGCAGCCTCCAGAGCCTGCAACATAGCCTTTTTCAGTAAATTTCTTCTGGAACTTCCTTGCTGCTGTGCACAGCCAAGAATGAGTCAAAGTGCACCAATCGTAGTTTGCAGCATCATTATAAACAGTTAAAGCATGTCCCAGAGAAACAGCCAGATTTGATGAATTTGTTGTGGTACACAGTATGTACCCAAGAGCAACAACCAGAAATGCAATCTTAAACTCAGCCTTCTCCTTGTCTATTTTAATAGGCAACAACTTCCCTTTTTTATCAATACGAACCACCGCAGCCGCAGCTGCTGCCACAGGAATGCTCTCCCCAGGCTTGCCAAAAAGTCCAGAAATACGTTTCATTTCAGTTTTCATCACTTCATCATCATCCGGAATGGTAGATGGAACTGGCTTGGAACCCTTGGGTATACCAAGCACCCACTCCACCTGAGCTGGACACAGAGGATATACATACTCATCTCCAAATACCATGGAACCATCTCCATCAACCCTTGACAACAGCCTTTAAGAAAATTTACGAGGCAAATATTCCAGTGGCATGCTTAACAGCCCCCCAAACCCCATTTCATTGACCAAATCCTTCCGCGTCTTATCAAACTGCTTATCAAACTTCCAAATGCCTTTACACCATTCAGATTAAAGGCCTACACAATACAAAACAGATGCATAATCAAATTGATCTCTGATATGTCGTGTTTTGTGTATATTATTTGGCTTATTTTTAGTTAGTTTTGTTAGTTTAGTTGAGTATTTGAGTCCGTTTTGGTGTAATTTGGTTTAGTTTCGATGATTCAATGCTTTTATGGGTAGTTTTGTTGTTTTTGATGTATTTCAGGATTAACGGAGCTAATTTGGATATTTTACGAAGTCACGAAGCTATGCCGAGGCCCAAAAATATTAAATCATGTGTTCGATACGAACTTGAGTGAAAATGAAGCAAAACGTTGATGAAATACTTGACAAATATGACACCTGTTCACTATTATGCTCATAACTTTTGATATACAAATGATAATGGAGTGATTCAAATTGCATTGGAAAGTAGACTTGAAGACCTTTCCAACAATATATTACACGCCTCAAACGAAGCTCTGGATATGAAGTTATGACTGATTTAAGATGAGTGATACGCGCAGCAGAGCAGGCACGTCCGTGCCCATCACCAGGCACGTCCGTGCCTGGAAGACAGACTCAACAGCGTTTTTATTTATAGAGAGGCACGTCCGTGCCTCACACTAGGCACGTCTGTGCCTCCTGGGATCCTTGTGCGCCAAGCTTTTTGCCGACTTTCTTATCTTTTCTAGGGCTATTTATATACTAAGTGGTGTTTTATTATTTCATAAGTTTTATTCTAGCCTTTTATTTTTACGTTATTAAGAACTAGTTCTCCATTATTATTTTCTAAGTTTTTGTAATTCAAGATTCAATATTCAAGCTTTCTACTTTCAATTTTATTCAAGATTTGGTATTTATTTTTCATCCTTTGTTATTCAATTATGTTTTCATTATTTATTATTGTTTTTGTTTCTTTAATCATGTGTGAGTAGATTCTTTAATTCAAGATCTAGTGTAGCCCTATTATTATTGATGCATGAATTAAATCTTTAAATTCTTTAACAACTTTAACAATTGAATTGCTAAATTGATTGTGATTATGCCAATGCTAGGTTAGACGTAACTATAGTATTGCGATTATTCCATTGTTTTTATCACAGCGAAAGTTGGGTATAAACAGATTTGAGTAAATCAATTTAGGGTTTGATTCTCAACACGAGAGTAGTTGTGTTTGATAATTGGGAAGTGAGAATAACGTGTTTAATGTCTTTAATATGCATGATACCATGAGAATAGGATTGATTGTATGTTAGGGAAGCCATTGATACTCGAGAGAGTTCCTTGGTAACTATTAGGGTTTACTTTTCCCCGTTCGATTGAAATCGTATGTTAAAGGTAGAATTACAATTGCATCGATAATAATTGTGGTGAAACTAGATCTTGGATGTTTTAAGTACTTGATTTAATCATCTTATTTAGTTTATTTTCGAATTCTTCTCATACTTAGTTCCGTAGATAATTGATTATAATTGATCCTTGCTTTGTAGAAATTCGAGTCTATTTAATTATTTTTGAACCTTAGTCTCTTGGGATCCGACCCTTACTTGTCAGTCTACATTAGTATTGGTCTGTTAGGTTATTTTTTATAGGTACGCAACACGCCTACCAAATTTTGGCGCCGTTGCCGGGGACTAACGGTTTCATTAGATTAATTGTGATTCATTTTTGCTAGGCTTATTTCGTTGCTTCGGCTATTTTCTCTTGTGTTTTTGATACTTTTTCTCTAGTTTTCTTGTTGCATGCCCACACGAAGCTCAGGTTCAGAAGATCTAGCACCTTTTGATTCTGAAATCGAAGCAACCGCAAGAAGACGGGCAGGTAAAAGAAGAAGGAGAAATCAAGCCAATAGAAACATGGTAGACCAACCAACGAAATCCCTTTTGGAGTACGGTATTCCTGATACGACTACCGGAGTCTTTTCAAGCATCATAAGACCACCAGTCACGGCTCAGCATTTCGAGCTCAAGCCACAATTCATACAGTTCATCTCCAATGATTCATTTGCAGGGCTACCACACGATTGCCCCGTAAGCCATATAGATAGATTTTTGGAGAAATGTGACACTATGAAGTTGAATGGTGTTACAGATGATGCAATCGGACTACGCCTTTTCCCCTTCTCACTTCGAGATAGGGCAAAGGAGTGGTTAAGAGATGAAGGTACTAGCTCGTTCGATACATGGGACAAGTTAGTGAAAGCCTTCCTAGTGAATTTTTTAGGGAATGAGAAGACTGCAAGATTGAAGAATGAGCTACAAACTTTTAGGCAGTCAGATGATGAGTCTCTCTATGAGGCTTGGAGGAGATTTAAAAGATTGCAGAGACAATGCCCTCACCATGGCATTCCAGATTGGATTTTGATGCAGACCTTTTACAATGGCATGACTCATGAGTTCCGTATTTACATAGATGCTGCGTCAGGAGGTTCTCTCTTGACAAAGAACCCCACTGAAGCTAGGGAGCTCATAGAGAAGATGGCGGCCAATGATAACTATCATCCTGGAGGCCGAAACACTATGAAAAAGGGGGGTAAACTTGATGTTGATGCTTTAACTATGCTAACTAGTTCTGTGTAGGCACTAACAAGCAGGTTTGATAAGTTCCAAGCAGGAACTTCTAACACCCCACAGGAGTTGTGTCAGTTATGTCATGTGCAGGGTCATGTTGCTCCAGATTGCCCACAGATTTCGCAGAATGCGGAAGAGATGTCAATCGAGCAAGCCAATGCTTTCTACTCCTCTAACCCAAAGAGGCCTTATGACCCTTATTCCAACACCTACAATGAAGGATGGAAACACCATCCCAACTTTTCCTACAAAAACTCCCAAGCGCAACAAAACCCTCCACCACCACCTCAACCCAATACCTACAACCAACCACCACCAAGCTTCCAACATAAACCACCCAATGCCCAACAACCTATGCAACCATAACCTCAGAAATCAAGCCTAGAGGTGACCTTAGAGAGCTTCATATCCGCAACAAACAGTGCCATCCAACATCAAAATAGCTCTATCCAACACTTGCAGGCCCAGAGTAAACTTATGGAGAATCAGATAAGCCAATTGGCCAACCAATTTAACCAAGCTCTAAAGACTCCAGGAACCTTCCCGGGCCAGACAGAACAACCTCAAAGAGCCCAAATGAATTTTGTAGCCCTGAGGAGTGGAAGGCAGTTGGACGATCCTCCTACCATGGAGCCATCAAGGGAGGTCAATGAAGAAGCAGAGGCAAGTGAGAAGGAAGTAGAAGATGCTAGGGTTGAGGAGGCATCAAAGGAAACACCACTAAAGCCACTTGCTCCATATGTGCCCAAGATTCCTTTTCCTCAAAGGTTAGCACAAGCTAAACTTGAGAAAACGTTCAGTAAGTTCCTCGATATTCTTAAAAAGCTTCATATTAATATTCCATTCCTAGATGTCATATCTGAGATACCTTCTTATGCAAAATTTTTAAAAAATATGCTATCTAACAAGAGGAAATTAGAAGAGAATACTACTGTTGCTTTGAATGCAGAGTGTAGTGTTATTTTGCAGAAAACTTTCTCTAAGAAATTAGGAGATACAGGTAGCTATTCAATTCCAGTGAAGCTTGGAGATATTGAGATCAATAGGGCACTATGCGATCTAGGTGCAAGTGTGAGTCTTATGCCGCTGTCCATATGCAAGAAGCTACAGCTGGGTGAGCTTAAACCCACACATATATCTCTACAACTTGCAGACAGGTCAGTGAAGTTTCCTTTGGGTGTACTTGAGGATGTACCCCTCAGAGTAGGTAAGTTTTTCATTCCATGTGATTTTGTTGTGATGGAGATGGAAGAAGATGTGAATGTTCTGATCATACTTGGTAGACCTTTCCTAGCTACTGCAGGTGCAATCATAGACATGAAGAAAGGTAAGATCACTTTTAAAGTAGGTGATGAAAAGTTGGAATACTCACTTTTGAATGTCATGGGTGCTCCCTCTACGGGAGACACTATTTATCAGATAAGCCAACTTTCGCAATAGGTGAACCGCCTATCGACTCTTCAAGATCAAGCGAAGGTTCAGAAAGAACAATGCAACGCTATCTTCCTGAGAAGAGATGAACTAATCCTGAAGCAAATTATTGAGAAGGTGTGCATCAAGGAGCCTAGAAAGGACGTAAAGAGAAAGGTGTTCAAGGCTCCAAATATGTAGCTCCACCGGCCAATGATGAACCGATGCCTTTCTCGCAACGGTTGTCAAAAGCCGTGCTTGATGGGCATAACTCTACGTTCGATGGTGGTACCTGTTTGAGAATCGATGCTACTAACCCCCCGTTTGATAGGTATGTGTTTGACAGGAATTTCGTGAAAGGAAAGGATAAAGTTCCACCCGATGGCATGTTTGGCTATATGAAGGTGAATTCGATTATAAGGCAAGTGAATAAGCCGATGAAAGAGTCGCTTGGAGGAATTCATGAACCACATCGCGGTCCTCCTCCTCCGTGTAATGATCCCGGTTGAGCCAATAAGGGAGGTCGAGCTAAAGACCTTTTAAACAAGCGCTAAATGGGAGGCAACCCATTCTCGAGTTCTTACTCTTATTTCGTTAGTTTTTCTTCTTTAATTTCATTATTTTTCTTGATTTTTTTTTGTTTTGATTCTTGTGTCTAGCTTTTGTTTTGTTTGTGGTCTTTTTATATAGGTGAAAAGTAAGCAAAAAGAAGAAGAAACAAGGAGGAAAAGCGCCAGAAGGAAGGAAAAAGGAGAAAAATCAATTTCTGTAGAGGCACGTCCGTGCCCCTGAGGAGGCACATCCATGCCTCTGAGGCAGAAAGTTTGGGGGTTGAATTTTCAGAGAGGCACGTCCGTGCCTCCCCACTAGGCACGTCCGTGCCTCAGGTTTTCCGTATTTTTTTATTTATTTAATTTATTTATTTTCAAAAAAAAAAAATCATCCCCAAACCTTCGAAGCTTTCTCTCTCCTAACCCCAAACCTTCGAAGCCATCGGGGGCATGATGCGACAGCACTTCCAGGGCGGTCCTAGCACCGACCCGAGGTATGGCTTTCCCCCCCACCCCTCCTGATCAGTAGTTTGCTTTCCCTTCCCCTTGTTTATATGCTTTGTTTTATGCATACATTGAGGACAATGTATGGTTTAGCTTGGGGGAGGATTTTCTTTTCACTTTGTATATATTAAATTTTTCTTCAGTTTTTGGGTAGTTTATTTCTTTCTAGTCTCGAATAATATGCCATTGCATGACTATGCTTCTATGATTATAATCACATATGTGTGCTTTTTGAAAAAAAAAAGAGTTTTTGAAAACCCATTCATTGATGTGCTTGGATTTGAGTTGGTTTGTGGCCAGGATGGTCTCCCCGCTCTACTTATGTGAATAGTTTGTGTACCCGGTGAGAGTCTTGAGCCTTATTTAACTGATTTCACTCTACCTCAGTCGTGTTTCTTCTTGTGTGATTAGATTGTCCTTCATATAATCGAATTCTTGGTCTTGCTTTTTGACTATTTGAGACTTTATGATGCATGTCGCGAAAAGATGATTGAAATTTCCTTGTAGAAATTAGAGCCTCCACATTTTAGGCCTTCATGTTTTTTTTTTCTTTTTGTTTTTATTTATTTTTATTTTACATTCACCTGTAGGTTGAACCAATTTGAGCCATATTAACCCCTTCTTGATACCCTACATTTAAAGCTTTAGAGCTATTTTTCTAGGTTTATTTTGAAGGTGTTTTACATTTGTTAAGCCCTATGAGTGTGAATGATGAAAAAAAAAATGAAAAATGAAAAAAAAAAAGAGAAAAGTAATAAAAAAAAAACAAAGAGAAAAGAAGGGAGATTATGAGAAAAAAAAAAAAAAAAAGAGGAAGAAAAGAAATATGGTCTTAAAGGCCCTTGAAAAAAATAGAGAAGTCTTCCATTTTATTTTTATTTAATCGCTTCCTCTTTGTGTGAAAAGAAAAGAAACGAAAAAAAAGGAAGGAAAGAATAAAGGGCTATGTTTATATTTTATGAAGTTGGAGGAAATAAGGTTGGCTTGAACCCGACATTTGAATGTGTAGTGGGATTAGGATTTGTTAATATTTTGAGCACCACATTCCCAAATTACGTCGTCCAACCCTTATTTACCGAGCTTACCCTTTATGGATTTCATGATTTTCGTAATTGCATCAGTCACTAAAAGTGGAGAAAGTCACATTGCAAGCCTAAAGATGCCGGTTGTGTGAAGTTGATATGCATGCTATGCTTAGGTTGAGTGGCTTCATATTTCACCCCGAAAACACATGAGCGTTATTGTTTTTATTTTTCACAACTAAAGTGAGAACTATTCATGTTTGTGTGAGAAGGTATGGGGAGATGTGTGGTAAGATTGGTTGTCAAGTCCAAGTATATGAGATGAATGGTGGTTTTTGTGCATGTTGACTCTTGATTTCGTTTTTTTATCGTGGTTTTGAACTTGATGGCACATTGTGATTGTTTGAGGAGTTGTCATTCTCCTCCTTTGTGATTCATGGTTAAATGCTTGAGGACAAGCATTAGTTTAGCTTGGGGGAGTTTGATATGTCGTGTTTTGTGTATATTATTTGGCTTATTTCAAGTTAGTTTTGTTAGTTTAGTTGAGTATTTGAGTCCGTTTTGGTGTAATTTGGTTTAGTTTCGATGATTCGATGCTTTTATGGGTAGTTTCATTGTTTTTGATGTATTTCAGGATTAACGGAGCTAATTTGGAGATTTTACGAAGTCACGAAGCTATGCCGAGGCCCACAAATATTAAATCATGTGTTCGAGACGAACTTGAGTGAAAATGAAGCAAAACGTTGATGAAATACTTGACAAATATGACACCTGTTCACTATTATGCTCATAACTTTTGATATACAAATGATAATGGAGTGATTCAAATTGCATTGGAAAGTAGACTTGAAGACCTTTCCAACAATATATTACACGCCTCAAAACGGAGCTCCGGATATGAAGTTATGACTGATTTAAGATGAGTGATACGCGCAGCAGAGCAGGCACGTCCGTGCCCATCACCAGGCACGTCCGTGCCTGGAAGACAGACTCAGCAGCGTTTTTATTTATAGTGAGGCATGTCCGTGTCTCCTGGGATCCTTATGCGCCAAGCTTTTTGCCGACTTTCTTATCTTTTCTAGGGCTATTTATATACTAAGTGGTGTTTTATTATTTCATAAGTTTTATTCTAGCCTTTTATTTTTACGTTATTAAGAACTAGTTCTACATTGTTATTTTCTAAGTTTTTGTAATTCAAGATTCAATATTCAAGCTTTCTACTTTCAATTTTATTCAAGATTTGGTATTTATTTTTCATCCTTTGTTATTCAATTATGTTTTCATTATTTATTATTGTTTTTGTTTCTTTAATCATGTGTGAGTAGATTCTTTAATTCAAGATCTAGTGTAGCCCTATTATTATTGATGCATAAATTAAATCTTTAAATTCTTTAACAAATTTAACAATTGAATTGCTAAATTGATTGTGATTATGCCAATGCTAGGTTAGACGTAACTATAGTATTGCGATTATTCCATTGTTTTTATCACAGCGAGAGTTGGGTATAAACGGATTTGAGTAAATCAATTTAGGGTTTGATTCTCAACACGAGAGTAGTTGTGTTTGATAATTGGGAAGTGAGAGTAACGTGTTTAATGTCTTTAATATGCATGATACCATGAGAATAGGATTGATTGTATGTTAGGGAAGCCATTGATACTCGAGAGAGATCCTTGGTAATTATTAGGGTTTACTTTTCCCCGTTCGATTGAAATCGTATGTTAAAGGTAGAATTACAATTGCATCGATAATAATTGTGGTGAAACTAGATCTTGGATGTTTTAAGTACTTGATTTAATCATCTTATTTAGTTTATTTTCGAATTCTTCTCATACTTAGTTCCGTAGATAATTGATTATAATTGATCCTTGCTTAGTAGAAATTCGAGTCTATTTAATTATTTTTGAACCTTAGTCTCTTGGGATCCGACCCTTACTTGCCAGTCTACATTAGTATTGGTCTGTTAGGTTATTTTTGATAGGTACGCGACACGCCTACCAATCTCATTCCAGATACATATCTAAGATTGTCCTAATACCTCAATACACTATCACTTTAATAATGGTGGTACATTTAATTTAATTTCACATGATTACCTCAAATGCATAAACTACTTAAACCTATTCAAGCAACATATCTAAGCTAGTCATAGCACTGCATGTAATAAATCCACTATCAATTTAGTATTGGTTGTACAATACATTTCTTTAGCCATTAGTATTACTTGGAATCATTTTCAACATTATTTTAATTAAAAAACACCACTGACTACAATAATGGTACATTTATACATTTCTTTTCCCATTATTATTACTTGGAATCACTTTCAATAATATGTTAATAAAAAAACACCACTGAGTACACTAATGGTACATTCCAACTACCTCAAATGTATCATTCATTCTCTAAGTGTACTTACACCAACACATGAGTCAACACAGATTAGGTACATTACCTTTTGAGTCCATCTAGATTGGGTTTTAACAACCAGCTCTTCCTCCTTCACTACTTCACCTCGGTTTTTCTGAACATAAGAAGGATTTTACCATGAATTGACTACACAAAACTTACACACTATACATACAACAAGAATCACAACCATTACCTTTGCCTTTTTGGCTGCATTGTTTACTAATTTACCACCCTTCCTCTTTGCATTTTGAAGTCGTTCCTGCAGCAACTGCATACATAGTTCCTGCCACTTGTTATTTTGAGCAGAAGAAGGATATCATCCTCTTGTTCATCACCCTCACCATCCTCTCCCTCACCATCTGATGACTTTGAATCATCCTCTTCAGATCGTTTATCTTCATAACCGTCCCCACTACTGAAATCCTCCAATTCCTCTTGCTCAAAATCAGGATCATGATCAAAATTTACCTTCTTCTTGCCTTTGTTAGCACCTTTGGGTTTAACCCCATCATTCACCTTCACTGATTTCCCCTACAACCCAAAAAATTTCAGAATAGACAGCAGTGTTAACACAAAATTACATAAACCATAAACAAACAAAAAACACAGTCAACACGAGCACATCAACTCACCACATCCTTTCTACCACCAACACCACTTCCACCGGCTTCAGATCATTTCCTCTTAGTCATTATCCAATCCTACCATGTTAACACAAGCACTTAATCATCCAATTTCATACAACCAATGGAATCAATAAACTTCATTTACACAGTGATTAAATCCTAACTTCAACAATACCTTAAAAAATGTTTGGAAAACAGCTAAGACCAAAATCCAGAAAAGGGAGGACATCATTACCCTACTCATAAGCCCAGAATTTACAATACTCAACATTCCTTCAACGTATAAACAACTACTTAAAGGTTTCAACCTCCTCATGCATGAATAACTAAATAACACAGTATAACACGCATTCATCTAACATCCATATCACAATTCAATTTTTTTGAGTTACACCCTAATCACAAACACTAGGTGACTAGATTTTCCCAAAGTTAGAAGGTAATAATACGGAAAAACCATTATACACTAAACGATTTCGCCACAATTGACATTCACGGAATCAAGATTAACACCACTACACACAAACCCTAACTGACTTGCTTATTCGAAAATTAAAAGGTAATAGATCGCAAATAACATTAAATTCTACTCAATTTCACCAAAAATGACATCAAAACCACTCGCGAACACAAAATCATACTAACTCACACCCTACCACCGACCAAGTTAAACACCCACACAAATTCAATAAAGCCCAGAAAATGCAAAATTCAACGACTTACCTAACAAAACAGGAATTCACTACTTCACTTCACTTAACAAAACCCGACGGTATGCTCTGATGAAGCCCAAAAGACGAAGGATGACAGAGGAGAAGAGAATAAACCAGAGAACTTTAAGAGTCAGAGAAACAAATAAGTTAGAAGAGAGAAAAATAACTAAATGAAAGAGAGAGAAAGTTAAACAAAAGTTAAAAGGACATTTTCAAATGTCCCGATACATTTCAAAATATAACGGAGTCAATATTAAAGTCAACACTATAAATAAAAGAAAACAAATTGCATTTTATTGACTCAGCTAGCCAAATTACCTCTATGCCCTCCTATTTACAAAGATTGTAAATAGTTCCTATGCGCCTAGATGCACTCTGAAAATCGCTCAATAAATAAACATTTTTGAAGATATAAAAGGTAGGGATAAATTGTTAAAGTTATACATTGTCATATACTAAATGTTTCAATTATTATAAAACGGAAAAGAAATTTTATAAAATCGTAGGGTATAGAAAAGCTCAGAAAAAGGCAGATGGAATAAGGGTGGTCCGATGATAGACAGAGCCCAGTAGAGAGGTTCACCGTGCTGTCAGCATTAATGGGTCACCTCTGTAATCTTTACCAGTTAACGTGAAAGAGAGAGAAAAATACTCCCAAAAAAAATAAGCGAACTTTTTTAACAAAAAGAAAAGAAATTAACACCCTTTTAATTTTTATATATTTTTTTCTTTCAAAAGAAAAGGGAGAGCGTGGGAGAATATAGATCCAAAAATCTCTGAATTTTAGAGAGAGAAAGTGAGTCAATCACAGTCATTCTACTCATTTTTTTACCAACTCTCACCAACTGTAGTTGAGTTTTTGAGGATTAATTCTCTAATTTTTTGGAATATTTTAGCTTTCTTGGTGAAATTTTTTCCAGGTACTTAATCCTAATTTTGTTCTTTGTTTTTCTTGGGTTTTAGTTTCTTGGATTAATTAGTTAAAGATTTAATTATTGTTAACTTTTTTTTCTTTTTTGTTTTGAATCTAGTTGATGCTGAATCAAAGGTGTTGTTTAATTTACTGCTGTTTGTGTTCTGGGGTATAACAGTTTGTTTAATTTGCAGTTTTTTTTGTACCCATTTGCAGATTTAAGGTCTGTGATTAATGTTCTGGTGAATCTGGTGAAAGTTTGGTAAATTTTGAGGAAATTGTTGTTATTTTGTCATTTAAGGCTGAATTAGTTGTGGGGTTGTTCAGATTTGGCAGTTGATTGAGTATATGGTTCAGATTTGACTGTTGGTTGAGATTTCTTGTAAGAGTTTTGAAACCCTGGAATTTATATTTCACCATAGTAGAGGAAAAGTATTGGAAAGTTTCGATCTTTAAGTGTATTAGATTAGATGGCTGCTTGGAAATGGAAGAATCAGCAAATTAGGCATTGAAATTAGTAAGTGGAAGAGGGTGAGAGACATTTAGATTGAAAATCAATGGAAGATTTGTCCAAATATGCTCATAGCCCAGCTCATCTAGCTGTTATGCGCCGAGATTATGCGGGTTTAAAGCGTATAATTTCGTCCCTTCCTAGACTAGCTAAGGCAGGAGAGGTTACTACTGAAGATGAGTCTATTGCTGCTGAGCTTCAGGCTGATGAGCTTTCTGCTACGATTGATCGACGTGATGTTCCTGGCCGGGAGACTCCGTTGCATCTTGCGGTGCGTTTGAGGGATCCTACATCAGCAGAAATTTTGATGGCTGCTGGTGCTGACTGGAGTTTACAGAATGAGAATGGATGGAATGCTCTCCAAGAAGCTGTTTGTACAAGAGAGGAGCAGATTGCTATGATAATTGCGAGGCACTACCAGCCTCTTGCTTGGGCTAAATGGTGCCGTAGGCTTCCTCGAATTGTTGCCTCAGCATCTAGGATTCGTGATTTCTACATGGAAATATCATTCCATTTTGAGAGTTCTGTTATTCCTTTCATTGGCCGGATTGCCCCGTCAGATACTTATCGTATTTGGAAACGTGGGTCTAACCTACGCGCTGACATGACTCTTGCGGGCTTTGATGGGTTCCGTATTCAACGTTCTGACCAGACGTTTTTATTCCTCGGAGATGGCTACTCTTCGGAGGATGGGAAGGTGTCTTTGCCTTCAGGCTCATTAATTGTCCTTGCTCACAAGGAGAAAGAAATCACCAATGCTTTGGAAGGAGCTGGTGCTCAACCGTCAGAATCTGAAGTTGCCCATGAAGTAACGTTGATGTCTCAAACTAACACATATAGACCAGGCATTGATGTCACACAGGCTGAGCTTGTTCCTCAAGTGAACTGGAGGCGACAGGAGAGAAGTGAGATGGTTGGAAATTGGAAGGGTAAAGTGTATGACATGCTTCATGTAATGGTGAGTGTGAAGTCTAGAAGAGTTCCTGGTGCTATGACTGATGAGGAGCTTTTTGCTGCTGATCCTGAAGATAAGCTTGCTAATGGGGGTGAGCATGATGATTTTGATGACATATTAACTGTTGAAGAAAGAAAACAACTAGATTCTGCTCTTATGGGATATTCCGAGGGTAATGGCGAGGATGATGAGCATGGTGATGCTGACTGTCACGAAAGTGGATTAGGGTCTGCTTTTGAAAATGGTGATTCAAATGGTAACGGTAAAGAGAAGAAAGGTTGGTTTGGCTGGAACAAGAAGAACTCCAAAAGTGCCAATGATGATGCTGAGGATGCAAAGACATTAAAGAAATTCTCAAAGCTTGCTCCTGAAGGGGGCAGCCTAAAACATATTGATTCTCAAAAGGATGACGCAAGTGATCCAAAGAAAGGAAAAGATAAGAACAGCAAGAAGAAAAAGAAGAAAGGGCCAACCAGTGAGTCTAAGCATGAGAGTGAATACAAGAAGGGTTTGAGACCTGTTCTGTGGTTGACCCCAGATTTTCCTTTGACAACCGAGGAGCTTTTGCCATTGCTAGATATACTAGCGAATAAGGTTAAGGCTGTTAGGAGACTTCGAGAACTTTTAACCACTAAGCTACCATCTGGGACATTCCCTGTCAAGGTACTTTCACTTACCTCTTCTATATCATCTTTCAATGCTTCCCTGTGCTGTTTTTTACGTTTTTTTAGGTTTACGTTGTATTCCTCATTTATTACTTTTATCTTTTAGAGTTTGTGAAATTATTATTACTCTTGTCATTTATTGAGTGGTATCTAACATGTACCTGTCCTCTAATGTCCATTTATACTTTCAATTTCAAACTTGATTTTTCATTTTACTCTGACATTGTCTTTTCATTTGAAGAAACATATTTCTTTAGTTGCTAATCTATTATTCATGATTACTAGAATCTTATGGTAAAATCTTTGCATTAGCTGACAATGTCATATAGAACAGGCCACTGGCATGTTTCCTGTACATGAAACAGATATGGTAATTTATAGTTCTTCAAGATTTAGTTAGATTAGTCTACTGTTGCACCACTCTATTGGAAAACAGTTTGCACATTCCACCAAGATGTGGTTAGCAGTATAACTCAGTGGATGGGGGTTTGTGTGGATTAGGTAACATCGGATGTGAATTGAGTAAAGATCTGTAGCTCATCTATCAAGCCTTTATCTCTCTGCCTTTCTGCCCCCATTAAGAGATAATTGACAAAAAGTGAGAACAAATAATAATAATAATAATAATAAAAGAAAAAAAGAAAATCAGTATGAGGTTGTGGTCCAGTGTGCTGCAGATGGGATTGGTTGGTTATACTGTGATCTAACTTTAGCTGATGCTTTGGTCCCATAATAAGTTGGAAGCTGATTTTGCCATTAAAAGAGTCCATGCAACGTTCAGGTGCTGTAAGCTTCCAGCTGTATGTTGAGCTTAAATGTGAAATTTGAGTAGTGCAAAGCTGTGGTGGTCTTTTGGGATTTGAGTTGGTTTAATAGTCTAGGGTACCCATTTTTTTTTTATTGATGTTCTTTTTTATTGTGTATGCCACCCTTAATTTATGTAAGCTGAGCCTGTTTGCTGTGAAAATAGGCTAGGTATGCACTTATTATTGTCTTTAATGTAGGGACTTTCATTCATTTAAGATCACAACTTAGTTGTGGTGCCTGACTTATTGAAAATATTGATAAATTTTTTGGCACTTTTTGCGACGTCAAGCTACCTTTTGTTACTTCTCATGCTTCTCAATGTTTGGACATAAGAACACTGCTGGAAGTACCCTTGTGCCCTGGTGAGATCTCAATTATAAGACAAATGACCTATTGAAGGAAAAGGAAGTTTTTTTTTTTGGTTTGAGAGAGAGAGGGGGGGGGGGGAGAGTTGGGGTGCAAGCAGTCCACCTGGTTGCAGGACAACTTATGAACAAAATCAAAATTGTGATCATGCAAAATCTTATGGATAAGATACAGAACATAATATTTGTCAATGCATCCTACATCAGCAGACAAAAGAATATACAAACCATCATTTTACTATTATTTTTTGTACTAGCCAAAGGGCAACAGACCTAAATGATCCATTGGGTATCGCTTTTGTTTCGATCATTTTAGTCCAACTCTAAATCTTTGGTGTGGGAGGAAGGGTTGGATGGAGGGAATGTTATTTGTCATTCTGTGGTTCTCCAATTTGAAAGCGGGGAGGTAGGGTATGGAAGAGGGGGGGCCTTTTTGGAGGTATTTTGGCATTCTAAAGTTAATATGTTGGCTTTGGATAATTTATTGAGTCACATATGCATAGGCTTAGATTCATGATCATAGTGGCATGTCAATCATTCATTCTAGGCCATTTTGGAGATATTTTGGCATTCTGAAGTTAATATGTTGGCTTTAAATTTAAAAGCTAGCTAATCTATTGAGTCACATATGCATAGGCTTAGATTCATGATCATATTGTGGCATGTCAATCATTCATTCTAGTTGCTGTATTCTGTTGTCATCAAGTGTATTTGGTATTGTATTATTGTTGCAGATGTATTTCATGATATTAATGTTTGTGGAATGAAACATGGTCAATGGTGCCCTGAATTTTCAGCTTATCAATGTAAGGGTGATTGTTTCTCCTTCATGCTTTCACACACCCTGACTTCCCCCTTTTTTGTTGATGAGATTCTCCCTTAGTGGGTGGGGCCTTAGTTGGGGTTTTTTTGGGGGATATTCTTTAAATGCAGCTCCTATTAATTTTATTTATCTGCGACACTTAAATAAAATGATGTGCATAATTGCTTAATAGAAAATGTAATACAGTTTTCTGATCCATTATGCCTTTTTTTTTATCCATTCTCTCTTTGAATGTAGAATATGGTAACTAATGAGCCTTGTCTGGTCTAAAGTGCTGTGAAATTTTGTCTATTGCTCTTTACGCTGATTTGGCTTTTTTAGGCTTATACAAAGACGTACACTTGATCTATCTTCAGTGAAAATTTTCCTCTAAATCTAGCTGTTCTAAGCTCCTACTTTTTTCTTTATGCAGGTCGCCATCCCAATTGTTCCAACAATTAGAGTAGTTGTCACATTCACAAAATTTGAGGAACTCCAGCCTATAGAAGAGTTCTCAACACCTCTTTCTAGTCCAGCTCATTTTCAAGAAGGCTCAAAATCGAAAGACTCAGAGGGGTCCTCTTCTTGGATCTCATGGATGCGAGGAAGTCGTGGTGGGCAATCAAGTGATGGTGAGAGCCAAAGTCATCGCTATAAAGATGAAAATGACCCTTTTAGTATTCCAGCGGACTACAATTGGGTTGATGCCAATGAGAAGAAACGTCGCATGAAAGCTAGAAAAGCTAAGAGCAAGAAAAACCGTAGACCAACAACAGCACCCAAAAATGGGGATATTGGACAACAATTGAGTGAGGAAGTGGAGTAATATCTGCAAGGAATGATGTCTGTATCAAGTGAAGAGACTCCCGTTCAAGGTAGAGGTAAAAATCTCTCCTTATGTGCACTCAAAACATTAGACCAAGTGATGGAATGTTACATGCTGTTGTGAAAGAGAGGGAGGGAGGCTGCAGGGCAATTCTTGTTGACCCCAAATGGCGCTTCTTCATGCTGTTGTGTTCTGTTATGTGATGTGAAATTCGTGAAGTAAAAGCTACCATGTTTCTTGATAGCATTGTTTTTGTTCTAACCTTCGTTTTTCCTCCCTTAGACCAGTGTTATGTATCTATTTATTATTTTTCTCACCCACAAGGCATTTGTTTGTTTCGTAAGTTTTTGTTCATCAATGTTAAATTGATCGTTGTTTGTACTTACTTTGATGTGTAGTTTAGGGATCACATCAATGTAGCTTGATGGCGACAGATCCGCTGATATGTTACTTCGTTGAAAAGCTTGCTGACTTATCTTTCTTGGTGCTAAATTGCTTTTGCAAGTGTTACTAGCTACGTTGCCAATTTTGATGAATTTGTGGGGTTGATTTTGTAATTTAGTGTTGAGAGATCGAATCAAGTTCTACCTTCTTGGATTAGCACTTTGCAACTTTACTCAATGGAGTGTTACATCATTCGACACAACTTTGTTAAATGGGGAATTACATCATCTTACAAAATCGCCAGTGTATTGAAAAGGAGAGAAATCCGAATTTACTATAAATCTAATGACATGAACTTTGTCTACAACGGGTGTATTGTATACAGGACGATATAGCAGCTCAACTACATTTATATCTATATACTAGTATAATAACTCGTAGTATAAATGACTTTGTTGCTCGGAAAGCTTCTGTATGTGCAATCTTCTCGTCTTCTGCTTCCTCTTCAGTGTAATTGTAAAAGATCAGGTAGCAAGACAATCAGCATAAAATGTATATAGCTTTATTTAGAGCTTACTATTGAAAATCATCAGAGAGGCAGAACGATACATTTATGGCCCTCAAATATACAACAATCTACTCTGTATTTACAAGAAAATATGTCGCCACATATTTGTACACAAGAAAGCAAAATTGATCGATTGTAATCTGATCTACAATGGAATTTATAAATACTGATTCTTTCCCTTCACCAAAATCGGTCCTTGTTAACACTCAGATATCCGGCCATGACTTTCCCTCCCGTGTTCCTCATACCATCAATCAAAAAACACCACGTGGAACCTAAGGCGCCGATGAAGAAATCAGCTTCAGTGGCCATCAAGAAATTGACCAAAGGATATTCCGTGCTTGTCTTTCTCCCAAGGCTCGCCTCATAGGTTGCCATTGTTATGTTGCTGACTTGCCTTTTTACATTGGTGAAGTAGAAGTTCCATCCTGATGAAGTGTAATGCTTTGTAAGGTCGATGACTTGTTGCATCTCGGTGGATAACCAGATGCTCCTTAAGTCCGGGAATTGTTTTCTTATCCTTTCAGCTAGGCGCATGTACTCTTTGAACTCCACCACCTTCATTTCGCAAGCTTTGTCTCCCATTCTTACATGCATGCTTAGAAGTGGTCTTGGAATCCATGGTTTGCGGTTGGACCATACATATTTTTCTATCTCAGGTGCAGGGTGGTCTGTTTCGTCCTGTTATGAAGGAAGCATAGTGATTTTGTGATTATACATCATACACATTAGCAATTCCAATTGGCTCATCATAAAAAATGACTAAAAATCCAATCTAAAATCCTGGATGAACACAATAACTTCGTCTCAGGATGAACTAACTGTATCTGGAATGCCTAATGATATTTCTGAACAAGCACATAAAAGAAGGGCTCATTAAGTGAATGGGTGTTACTATACAAGATGAATCAAAGTAACCTCTTTTTCCGGAGGAAGTTTTGAATTTTCTTATGCAATCAGATGAGGAAACAAAGGTGACTGAACATGATTATGCTGAAATAGCCTGTGTGCTTGATTCATCTTTCTAGATGTAAAGCAAAATGGTTTAAGAGTTACGTTGCATGCCTACCTTCAGCCAGTCTCCATTACTATTCGAGAGGACCATTTCTGCAGCCTCCTTTCCAAATGCAGCATGTCGAGCAACATTCATTAGATGGCATGTGTAGTCAGTCGGAAATCTCATCAGATATCGTACAGCCTGACAGATTAAACCAAGTTAGTAATAAGTGTTGATTTATCATGTTATGTACACAACCAAGGAAAACTAAATCATGAGATTAGACTTCTCGTTCTCATTGCATACTCGTTCATGAGACGAAGCAGGAGGTTGCTGTCCTCAAGTCTGATCCAAATACTACGCTATTCTCTTTACATAATTATAACTAAAGCTAATATGTACGCTCAGGTGATATCTCAAAATATAACTGCTGATGATGCCAAACATCTATTAATATATTCCTGTACATGTAGCTAACTCTAATTCAGCGTGTTCAGAACTTCAGATGAAATTCAGAGGGAAAGGGAGATTTTCGGTTATTTGCATAAAGAATGGAGAAAGGGAATGGATGGCAAGTAATCCATTAGACTATCACCAAGCATAACTAATTCATGAACTAGTTATTACCTGTGCTCGCCACCATCTTCTGTCCATTTTCCGATGAAATGCTACGAAACTCCCGTTTATTTCTGTTGTTGGTTGCAAATAACTCCAAGGAGCACCCCAGTTTCTGCAGTAATTCAGTACACATGAATATTTCGCATCGTTCTCAGAAGATAATGTACTCGACAAAAGGTGCAAGAAATTACCTAGGAGTCCGTCCTGCCCATATCTCCTTAGAAGTGTAGTTCTCTTTTGCTTTTATGATACCCTTGTCCCATGCTTCCTTATGATTCATGAGTTCAAAAGCACGATTCCGACATTCTTGGGATGTCTCCGGAAGAAAGTAGCAAGACCAACTTGCATGAGATGATCCTGTAATATCCATCAAAAGCACACTGACTTGACTAAATTCAGCACTCTTAAGCACCATATCTCAAACAGGTTATAAGTTAGCTACTTAAAACACTTGCATATGAGTTTCAACAATTAAAAAAAAAAGCCGAAACTTAGGCATGATAGTATTCATGACCTAAGATGTCAATTCAACCAAACTAATTAAGCACTAATAATTCCGATAAATTATGCACATCCATTTAATGTAGCTATTACCTTTGCAGCCCTCATGATCAGCACGGTTGTAGTAATTTGTTACAAGCACCCTCTTCTCAGAAATGGCAAGAGCAAGAAGTCCACACATTCCAGCAATTTGTGCACCTATACCAAACCCGGGGAGTCTTTCCCAATCAGCCACAAGAAACTTCACTTGAGGGCCATGACAGTTCAATGGATGCTGATGAAGCCATACATCACGCTGCACTTTCCTTGTTAAGGGATAATTTTCTTCATCAGATCCTGTAATCTACCAATGTAATGAGGATGCAGACATTAGATTATAAACAAAAGGGTAATTCACATACATTGTTGAAGATAATATAGAAACATACCCAGGGAGGATAAGCACCTTGAGACATATCCTGATGCCTGAAATCATTCAACTGCTCATTTTCCGAATCCTTTGAGTATACGTCTAATGATCCCTTCCAAAGGGTCCAAGGGGGGAATGTTGCATTACCAACACGTGTATCTAGCCTCTTGTTCATCAGGGCTTTTGACTTACAGTTCTCTAAATGAGGAGCATTCGGGACACTTGATTTCGTGTCTGTCCATGGGTCTACAGATTCATTAAGTTGCTCCAAGTTGAATAGTAGCATAGACACCTTATCGTCGTCACAGCACAATTTTTTCCCCCTTGGATTCACTTCCTTCTCCACTGTTCTTGAGTTAAAGTCACTGTCTCCTACTGTATCACAGCAAATTACAACTTCAGACTTTAAGACATGAACAATGAGCCCAACAAAAGAAAAAGTCAATTACTTTACCAAGAAACACTACAAATCTTGATTACTGGTCTTGTAATCAATCATGTTGCATTTATATCTTTACTCTGTTACTTCCTCTGTAGAACACAATGCCATATTTCTATTTTAGGCCGTCCCAAAATAATAGGTCATTTTCAATAATCGGTAACTTAGAATTTACCTAAAACTATGGAATATTGACTCATTCCTTTAAATGTGAGTACACGACTTGTAACAAATTATTTAGGCACAGAGGTACATTGTGATATGTGAATCATACTACTTTCAACCTAAAACAAAATTCGTGAGTACAACTACAAAACTTTAAATAATCGAACCTTTACAATTCATAGCATACATTTTCTTCTAAAAAAACTAATTTCTTCCTATGAAGTACATTTATGTCTTCTCAATGTCTAAGGTAAATGCACTACAAACAAACAAATTATTTCATTTCCATACAATATACTCCCACCCTCCCACAATCAAATTATCTACTTTTTGCACGGAAATTAAGGTACCTAAGAATTAATAGAGGACAAATCTATTTTGGAGTAAAAGATGTATATTTTAATGGAAAATGTTAAACGTAGCCCTTATAGGCACATCCCAATTTTCTTAACCAAATTCAAATGTTTAACAAATCGAAAAACTCGACTTACAAGTAATCTGTGGATTAGAGCTCCAGGGCAAGATAGCAGCTGAAATCTGATGAAACTGAATGCCATCGAATTCGAAACGGCCGAAGGAAGTAAGAGCAGCAAGGAATAGAGAAGTAAGACAAACTCCACAAAGAAATCCAACTACACAAATTTGACATGGAAATGAACTACTCATTGATAATGCCTTTTGTGACAAAACCCTTTCAAGACCCTTATGATCTTCTGCTTCCATTGTTTTTTTCAGTGTTAAATTTGATATATTAGACCAAAATTATTGGGATTATATCAAATCTTTTTTAAAGAAAGTGTCACACCCATCAAAATAGCAACTAACTTTTTCAACCACTTTATCACATGAAACTGCTTCTCATCCTTTGTTTCTGTGAACAAAATAGTACCAAAAACAAATGTTAGCTAGAAATTCACCAAAAAATTAAATTCTCTTTCAACTATTAACCAGAAAAAAAATTTAAAAAGAAAAAAATTGTGACAAAAATGATGATGGTATTTTTTTTATTTTTTTATTTTTATACTATATGATATTGATGTATAATTGAGAAATTAAGACTTGGAGCTTCAAAATTTATGGTGGGTGTATCAACCTCGTTACATGCATAATAATAAAGTATTGTTATTAATAAAAAGGGGAAATTTGGGTTTATAAATTTAGTAATGTATTTTCACGTATGGATTAAACATTAAAAATTAATAGAATTCTTGAAAAAAAGAACTTGTTATTTTGTGAAAGTATTATTTAAAAAAAAAACTAAAAAAACCATAAAGTAAAAAAAATTAAATTCGAGATAAAAGAGTAAAGTCATATATCATGTATTAATGGTTTAAAAAAAAAATTACTTTGTTGGGAGATGGAATTTAGGAATTGCATGAACTCGAAAACTCTGAAATAAAGGAAAGGATAAGTATAAATTCCAAAATATTAAAAAAAAAAAATTACAAGAATCAAAAAGAGTGATAATTCATAAATGAAAATTCAGTGAATTATCAAAATTAAATACTCTTAATTGGGTATATTTAAGAGAGATAAATAAAACAGAGAAAAGATTAATTTAGCCATTACCATGTATAAAAAATGATGAGAATAAGAATTTCCAATTCTCATGTAAAATTCAAGAAAAAGATTTAAAATGAAAATTAAAAATACCCAATTTCCATATAATTTTGAAATCAAATTAGAAAATTAAATCACAGGAAAATAAATTCAGATAAAATTACCAGGAAATTCTTTGTGATAGAGAAGCAGATAATTTAGATTACTGTTGAACAACTGAACATTTGTGAGAGGAAAAAAACAGAGAGAAAAGTAAAAGAAGAGTGAAGAAGAAGAGGAAACAGAGGAACACTTGTATAAACCAACAAAATTGAAGATAAAAATAAAACAAAAAAAGAAATGGAAAATGAATACGAACAAAGAAGAAAAGAATCAGACTTACAAATAGCATGCAAATAATGTTAAAATGAAGCCAACAAATTGAAGAAAAATAGAGTAATGTATTATAGTAAAGTTATAAAAAATTAAAAATGTGTGGAATTTTGATGTTGAGAATTTTTGTTGTAGTATATACGTTGGTCTAAGGATGATATTTGTTGTGGGGTGGGGTAGGAGGTTATGTTATTATGTATGTGTATATTATTCCAAAAAGCTTACAATATTATAGAGCCTTTCTTATGAAGATAATGTACGGACTAATTTCAAAAAACCTTTTCTTCATCTCTTTTGAACATTCTTCACTATTATATATTTTTATACTTGTATATGCATCACTTGTCATTTTACCTCTCTTAATTAGGATTCTATTATGATAAATAAATAAAAAAAAAATGTTATAACTAAAGTGATTATGTTCAGATTTTCTTTTATTATTTTCAGGTTTAGTTATGATTTTAGAAGTAAAACCAGAATGTTGTTTATCCGGACATAATATTACATTTGACAATAGATAATAGATAATTATTTCTTATAATAATTTAGGTATGGTTAGAAGTACATAACTTGTAGGAAACCTATATCAAAACCCATAAGTTATAATGTATTATATTAATTACTAATTGATAAATTGTTAGTAACTAAGGAAATTAATAATGAAGTTTATTCAAAGGGTTTAAGGGTTATGACTTTTCATTGTTTGGAGAAATTTCTTTCTTGTTGAGTAAAGTACTAAAAGCAAATGAATGTTGCAAAGGAAGTAGATTCTATCAACTACAACTAAGAATATATTCTTATAGTGGAGAAGAGGGGACCCCCCTAAATAGTTCTTTGCCAAAAACACTTACATTGATAATTTGATAAATAGTATAAGCTGGCAATTGTTCATTGCACAACTATAATTTTCGATGATGCCAGTCTAAAATGTCATTTTTATCATCAATAATTCACTTCTTATTGCTTAGCATAAAATGGACTGATTGTCTATTTCAGTCCACATGAAATACTTCATTGGATGGTGATAGTCTATAACTTTCTTCTTTGTTGTTAGTTGACAGAGTTTTGTGTATTTACAAGTTGTCTTGAAAAGGATTTTGTGGCAAGTTTTTAAATAATAGTCCACATCTTTATTTTAAAACAGTTGTAATATTATACTCTCTACTTAATACTCATTCTGTCCCTAAATTACATTCTTATTTCTAGCATTTATTTCTCACATTATTGAGAGAAGTAGAAATGTAATTTAGGAACAATATCAATAATATGTCATTTAATTTTCATAAATTAATATAAAATATTAAATTAAATCAAGTAAATACAATTCTAAGGTTTTAGAAATTAAAAACATAAATACATACGGAACGCATAGAGAAAAAAACCCTAGCTTCCTTTTCTCTCTTCTCTCTCCTAAACCTAGTCTCCATTGTCAATTTTAAAGGGGCTTCCATCGGATTTCACCGGTGGAAAGCCCCAATCTTTATTTTCTTTTAAGCCTTTTGTTTTAGGTAACAATAATGTCTCCCTCGAAAGAAAGGGTTTATCTCCTTCGAAATACAAGGTTTTTTCGATCTCCTTTTTCGCACTCCTTCGAAAGACAAGGTTTTATTTGAGCTTAATTTGGTCTCCGGTTGTGCGGGGCTACTACTGATTGTGGCTCGGATTCGGGTTACAGAATCAGCACAAGAATTTACTTTCTCACAAAATTGCGAAGAGACGACGAATCCACTCAAAAAGTTGTATGAGACAACGAAACGAGAATATGCCGAATTGTTATATTTATGTATTTGGATTCTTAGCCCTTCCCCAATTATTTCTTGTTTGATTTTGTTAAATTCGTTTGCATTATCGTTCATTGTCAATTGTAGATGTCGTATGACTTATATTAATGAAATTTAGTGTCCTTTAGGACTTTTTTCAAAAAAAAAAAAAAAAATTTAAAAACATAAGTACTAGTAAATAATTTAGGGAAAGATCATTAATGTAGTCAATGGTAGAGAAATCACACTTTAATTAGTGAAGGTTAATAATGTTATTTTAACTTAAATTTATAAAGAGGTGTATATTGTCTAGGGTATGGTTGCCTAAAAGCCAAAACTAAGCCGTTGTATAGAGGACGTGTTCGGAAAAATATAGCTGTGTAGGAAGCTGTTAGCTGTGATAGTAGGTGTAGTTGTTAGCTGTCAACAAGTTATACGTTACCTATGAAGATAGATAATTTAGGAATAAGTGTATTTTAGGACTTCTTTGAAAAAAAAAAAACAAAACAAAACAAAAAACAAAAAAACTGATCAAGTAAGATTGAATTATAGGTTAATCAATCATTCTCCATTTTTTTTTTATTGTATAGTAGTTCACCAAGTTAAATCTTAATGATATATTTTTTCTTTGTGTTAAGAGCATCGTAAAAGAAAATTTATATAGACTATTCTCATACGATTATTTTCAGTTAAGTTCAACTCTAATAAGTTCAGTTTAGTTCAGCTCTAATAAGTTCAGTTTAGTTCAGCTCTAATAAGTTCAGTTCAGTTATTTCAGCTTCTAATTTCCTTCTCTTATCAAATATTCATTTCAGTTCAATCAATGAGAACAGAACGTGAATTTTATTTCATGTATTGAGTAACACTTTAACAAATTTAGTCTAGTTGAGATCTATACCTTATGTTGTCGTTGCCCTAATACTTATAGTCAAATGTATTAGTTATGGTATTAGTAAGTTTTGAGGGACCAATTAATGTACTCAATATTGCTAGACATAATCAACACCACATTATAACTTGTGTGAAGTTTCCACCGTACTAATTGTATCTTCTTCTTCTTTTTTTTAATTAAATTTTATTTTATTTTATATTTATTTATTTTTGTTGTTGTAAACTAAGGGCCTATTCTAATTGGCTGAACTGAACTGATCTTATTAGAGCTGAATTGAAATGAACTGAATATTTTATAAGAGAAGGAAATTGGGACCTGAACTGAACTGAACTGAAAATAATCGTATCATAACAGGCCCTAATTGTATATTTGTATCTAATTATGAGTAAGAGACTAATTTTGAGATGGAATGGTAAAACTTCTAATCTTTCGTTCGTTCATTATTAGAGAAATGAATTTAAACCTTCTTATTAGCATGAAAATTATCTTGTTTAACTTGCTTACTTCACAATTTTTCAATAGAGAAACTAGTGTGTACCCTGGACGATGCCCCAAATTGCTATTTTTTATTTTGTACATCATTAATTTGATAATTATGTTCAACGGTTTGTATAGCTAGTGTATGATTCGGGCGTTAATTCGAATGTTACTTTTTTTTTTACCATGTATATATTTTCTAATCTCGTGAATAATAATTTTTTTTTAAATAACCTCTTTTTTTTTTTTTTGGGGGGGGGGGGGGGTTGGTATACGTGATTAATCCATCTTATATGAATATATGATGGTATGTGATTTTGTTGGTGTATAAAGAAACTCCATGGAGATGAAGAAAAGCCACTATTGGCACAATTTTTTATTTAATTTTTTTTTCTACTCTCTTGTGTCATGAGATAAGATATATTGGTTTTCCTTGTGCCGTGAGATGAGGTTTTTATATTGGTTCTCCTTGTACCATAAGACAAGGGTTTTAACTGTTTTAAGTGTGCTTTGCTTAGAAAAATCAATATTTGATTGGAGGTCGGTTTTGCTCAGGAAAAAAAAACCAAAATTGTTACTTTTGTAAGTTTGAAAAGAATGGTGTTCCTGCTTATTTGATGATTGATGGGTTCGAAAAGCTGATGAATGTTCTCATCATTCAAAAAAAGGAAAAAAAAAGTGAAGGCGAATCAACCACGTAGTGCATCTCATCGACTTCAACAAAGTGAAGTAATTGAAGACGTCATCAACAGATTAGTGCAATTCAATCGACTTTAACAAAGTGAAGAATTTTCAATCGCAATGTCTGTGTTACTGCTGTTACGATTGCGGGAGGGTGATAGAGATATAAGATATCGGAAAATATATGTGTGTTATATTTTCCGTGGATATGATTACTTGATTAGAGTAATAATATAGCTAATATTATTAATGTTAAGATGATATCTAGTGAATATATCTTTAGGATATAAGTTTATGGTAGTTAATCATTTAGGAATATTGTTTTCTATCTTATAATGTTAGGTATTGTATAAATACAAACAAGTCATTCAATTCTCTCTATCACCTTAATTTTTCATTTTGACACCTCTACTTGTAAATCGTTTATTTGTATGCACTCCAAGTGAGAATATATTCTTGTGATGGAGGGGAGGGGACCCCGTTGAATAGTTATGCGATTTATCTCAATTTGTATTTTTAAACTATTGACTTTTTATTATTTTGAATATGAGTGTAATTAGAAATAATAAAGTTCAAATATATTTACAAGTATCTATCTATCTATCTATTAACTTATACTAAAGGCGAATAACCAATGACACTTATCATTACTTTGTGAAAAATTTTCCCACCTTTTTCATTTTTTTTTCCAAAATCTTTAAGTAAACTATTTATATTTTATGATATTTTCTTTTATTCCATATATACTCAAATGAAATATTTTTGCGTATCTTTTATATACTTTGTATTTGGTAATATTATTGTCAAAAAATCAAAAACATTTAATAACAGTGCATTGCACGGGATTTTAACTTAGTTTCCTTATAAAAGGGTAAAGTTTAGATATCATTGTGAATTAATGGGAGTAACATCAATTTTATATAATAGAAAAATTGCATGCTATTTAGGGCCTGTTCACATTTACTGAACTGAGTTAAACTGAACTGATTGGAGCTGAATTGAACTGAGCTGAAATGAATATTTTATGAGAAAGAGAAATTAGGAGTTGAATTGAACTGAACTGATTGGAGCTGTACTAAACTCAACTGAATTGAACTGAACTGATTGGAGCTGTACTGAACTGATTGAAATTAAGTAAATGTGACATACCCTTAGTACTCGTCATCCCCTAATAACCCATTTTGATTTTCTATAGAAAATAAAAATCTTTTCCAACCATTCATTCAGTTAATTCCTTCCCCCTTTTTATTTTTTTTTTCTATTCCTTTTACCTACTATACATATACTAAAATCAAATTACATCAAAGCACTTGATTATCCATACATACACTTTTTGTTGTTATAATTTGAAATAAATTACTTGAGCAAGAAAAAAAAAAGGCACTTTAATTGGCAAAGACGCAAAGTAGAAAGATTGAACTAGAAGAACTAAAGAGAAAAAAAAAAAAAAAAAAAAAAAAAAAAAAAAAGAGGAGAAGAGGTAGAGTAACAAAATTAAAAAGCTAATTAACATGATTAATGATAATTAGGTGGATTTTCAACAATCGAGAGGGAATGTCTACAAGAATAAATCACAGCCGTCAAATTGAATGAAAAACAATTGAGATCACGTGATTTATACGCGACAAATTAGGGGACCATTGACGACGGTCCACACTCCACTTAACTTTGGATTTACTACATATTTTAATTTAATTTATGTATGTGTTTGTGGTTTTCTCGTCAGGTTAAAAGAATTGCAGGGTCAAGTACTTGTCTAATGCTTGTTTTCCTCCTTAGTCCTTATCTTATCACACACCTAACAATTGTATCCGTGATCCAACCTAAAATTGATCCAAATTGAAAAAAATGTACGGAGTATTTTTTGTAAAAAATTAAATGTATACTACATACGTTAACGGTTATGTGCAATTTAAAGGTATGTTTTGAGAAATATAAATTTTTTTAAATTTGTGGATAACAATTAACGGATTGTTTTATGGAGAAGTGTTAATGAGCCTAGCTAATATGTAAACTATTCGAGTTCAGCTTGAAACATTAAAGCTACATTAGGAATTTAGGATGACATGCAATGGGGAGTAATGTCATCTTTGATTATGAAATGATCAACAAATGTGTCACTCAATGTCTTAAGGAGATACACTAGTAACTCTTACAAAATAGAGTTCCTAACATTTTGAATTTTTTTTTCCTCATGTCACAGAGGGGTGGGACCGTGGGGTGAGGATCGAACTAAATGTCATAATATATGTAACGTCAAGTATGTAACAATTTACTAAGGGTCTGTTTACATTTACTGAATTAAGTTAAACTGAACTGAACTGATTGGAGCTGAATTGAACTAAGCTGAACTGATTGAAGCTAAACTGAACTGAATATTTTATGAGAGAGTGAAATTAGGAGTTGAACTGAACTGAACTTATTGGAGCTGAACTGAACTGAACTAAACTAAACTGAAATTAAGTAAATGTGAACAAGCCCTTAAATATCATTATATATGTGGGGTCAAGTATGTAACAATTTCTTAAAGAAGGATGATTGGATATTTGGATGAAGTAATAATAATGCGAAGTATACTCATGTTGAGTACTTGACCCAAACAATTGGTTGAGTACTTGATTACCCACAGAAAAAAAAAAATGGCGACTAATGTAGTAATGTTATAGTCCATTCTAGCAGTTAGCAAGCGTGGGGTGTTGGATGGTGGAAAAGGTAGTACGTTTAGAGATAGTAGTGTTAGTGCCGTCATGCTAGGATTCAATCATCACTGTGCTTTGTCTACCTACCATGGAATGGACCATGGGAAAGGACCAATGCTACTTATAATTTTGGACTTGATTACATATAAAATATTACACTTTATTATAAAATGAGGATAAAACAATTGGTCTTGTATGGACCAGTCTACAATAAATTATTGTACACCCAAAATTATTGTACACCCAAAATTTGACACTTTCAAATAATATAATCACATTCTGGATGATATAATCACTTTTTTAGATGATATAATTATCTTTTTATGAGTCATATTTTGATCTCATATTAAACCATTTAATGAAATTATATAATTATCTTTAGGATGATAAAATTTAAAAATCATCTTTTAAATGATGTAATTTATTATTTGATACTGTTTATAATGATAAATTCACTTTTTGAGTGATACATTTACATAACAGTTTCAAGATGATATAATCACTTTTGTAATAATATAATCACATTTCGTATGATATAATCACATTCGTATGGTATCTAGAAGGTTGTGTTTACAATAAGTTATTGTAGACTAGGTCTATTCTAGTCTTTAGCTATGGAAAAATAGTTAACTTTAAGAGACAATTTGGTAAAAAAATTAATCTCATATGACATTCAGATCGAAATATCTAATTTTTTTCCGACAAAGTCTTCAATTTTTTTTTATAAATTAAATATTTCATTAATTAAAAATCATACAATATCTATAATACAGATTAGGCATTAACAAATATATAAGATATTGAATCAAATAAAATTTTCATTCATAAAAACTACGATCGTCGAGTAGATCTTGCATTATATTATGGAACATCTCCCGCTTATATTGCTGGAAAATACAGTCTTGTTGGAGAGACAATCTAACGATCCTTTGTAGCTGTGAAGATGCTTTCCTTTTGATTCATCTCTCTGTATTTGAAAACTTCATAACTTTTTCACCAATAAAATAATTTCACGACAATCCATTAGATCTAATATCATGGTTCAAAACTAAGAAATTTCTCCCTCGAAAACAGGAGATAAACCTTGTCTTTCGTAGGAGGTTGAAAAACTCTTATCTTTCGAAGGAGATCGGAAACTCTTTCTTTCTAGGGAAAAAAGTTCCTCCCAAAATGATGAAACATTATTATAAAACCTAAAACAAAACTTTAAAGAAATAAGGATTGGGCTTTCCCACCGGTTAAAACCGATGAAAGCCCCGTCAATTTCAACAATGGAGAGTAGGGTTTTAGAGAGAGGGAGGAGAGCGGAGAGAAAATTTATGTAACTAAACTAGTTGTTATACATTTACAACTAACAATCATTAAGTCTTCAAATTTCCTAATTCAATTCGTTATTGTATTTTTTAAAATTATATTTTCAATTTTAAAATTAATATGTCATATCCTTTTTCCTTTTTTTTTTGGCTATATCCCGACATAAAATTTATTTCCAACCCCATTTAAATTTTTTTTTTGTTAATAAGGAGCAGGAAAAATTTACATGAAAATTAATATTTAAACAATATTTTTTTTCTTCAAATGGTTAATTCTGAAAAAGGGGTAGGAGATTAAGGTAAGAAAACCACGAAAAATGAACTAAATTAAGCATTTGCGAGTCGTTTGTCGATTTTTTTTTCTTTTTTTTTTTTGTATAATTGTCGCCTGATATATATATATATATTACCAAATTGTCGTTTGATGTTAGCTTTTTTTTTTTTTTTTACCAAAGTGTCGTCAGAGCTATTTTATTTACCAAGTTATAGTTAGGAGTCTTTTTTATTTATCAATTTGGTATTGGCATGGAGCACTTAATCATCTCATTTTCTCTCCAGCGAATTTGACTCTCCTCCAAAATATTTACAACATTAATTGAATCTCCAATCCTCCTCATTAAAGATTAATTCCCAAAATATACCACAAAGAAATTACAATTGAAGCTTTACACGGATGGATGCCAACTGGCTTAATTAGAATCTTGGGGGTAATATCCAAACAAATTTCGTCTATATCATTGCCCTTGTCTATTTACGTAAAGGCCCAATTTGGTTTAATGTAAAACATTTTCAATGGAAAACATATTTTTAAGGAAAAACACAATTGCAAATTAGTTTTCCTTTGTTTGGTTGCATACAAGGCCCTGTTTGGTTTGATGTAAAAGGTTTTCATGGAAAATGAAATTTCTATTTTTTTCCCATTTTCCTTTGTTTGGTTTGTTAAGGAGTGGAAAACAATTTTTCAAGGGTGGAAAATTCCAACCTTAATGATGGAAAACATTTTCCTTTCAAAAACAAGGGAAGCCACATTTTCCTCTCTCCTCCTTAACTCTTTTTTTACTTCCCTCTCATTCATCCTTACATTTCCACTCTTATTTTTTTTTTATTTTTCTTGGACTTTTCTTGTATGCAACCAAACAAAAGGAAAACTAATTTGCAATTGTGTTTTTCCTTGAAAATATGTTTTCCATGAAAACTAATTTTCCATTGAAAATGTTTTACATTAAACCAAACGGGGCCCAAGAAAAATAAAAAATAGGAGTGGAAATGTAAGGATAAATGAGAGGGAAGTAAAAAAAGAGGTAAAGAGGAGAGTGGAAAATATGGCTTCTCTTGTTTTGGGAAGGAAAATGTTTTCCATCATTAAGGATGGAATTTTCCGCCATTGGAAAAATTGTTTTCCACTCCTTAACAAACCAAACAAAGAAAAATGGTAAAAAAAATGAAAAAAATCATTTTCCATGAAAACGTTTTACATTAAACCAAACAGGCCAAAAAAAAAATTACAACTTTTGAATACATTTGTATTGTTTGTCGATTAGTACGTGGACAGTAGTTTTTTACCAATGTCAAAATTCTCCAATTTTTACTTATAAGTTATGATGGGCCTAGCTCGTTGTATTTCTACTATATCAATGAACATCCAAAAACAAAACCCAAAATTAATAGCCCAATACAACACCCCACCAAAAAAATAAAAATAAAATAAAAATTACTTGATACAATCGAGCTAGCAAGGAGTAGCAACGGCTCAATAGCTAGCCCCTACACTTTTCCAACGGTAATATTTCTAATCTCAAGAAAAAGACAATTTAATCCTTCAAACTCACAAGTCACAACCCCAAAAACCTTCATCTCCTCCAAAACCCCAGAAATTATTCATCTTCATTCAACTCAATTCCTCAATGAAAAACAATGTAATTCTTCTTCTTTCTTTCTCTGAATCTTAATTCAGATTATCCTCTTCTCTGGGTCTTCACCATTTTACTCTTTGAAACACTGATAAAGTTACAATTCACAAGTTCTTAACTTTATCAGTAGTAGCAATCAATTCTGGATAAAATGGGTTGCTTTTCCACCTGCTTTGGCAATTGCAAGCGCTCTCGAAGACGTCGAAGACGGCACGGGAATACCAACACGTCTTCCCTTCTTCATCATGTATGTTCATTTTAAGGGGTTTTTTCATCTTGTATTTTGTTTGATTTTGTTTTTGTATGAATTGACTATTGATTCATTGTTTATATTTTTATCAGCTGCAGACATATGAATCTGTTGAAGGTTTTCAAGTGCCGCATTTGATTAAAGAGCAAGAAGAAGAAGAAAAGGGTGAAAATCAAATTGAATTTACTCCTGATTCAAAGTAAGGTCTTTCATATTGTTCTCGTAATTTTTTGTTGGATTTTAATACCCAGAAAATTAAATCATTTATTGGATTTTGTATTGTTTAGAGAAGAGAAAATCGAGAAGGCGAATTCGAGTGAGCGGAAGAAGGTTACATTTGATTTGAATGTGAAAATCTATGAAGATTTTCGAACAGAGGAAGAATTGGATGTCGATTTTGAGGGAAACGAAGAGGAAGAGAAAGATGAGAGAGCAGAGATTAAAGAAGAGAAATCGGGTTTTGGTAGTCAATGTAATTCAGATTCAAGCTCTTCGAGCTTGTTTTCTTTTCCAACTGATCATCGGTATCGAAATTGTAGGGATAGTGATGATGAATTTGATGAATTATCATCTGATGAAAGTGAAATTGATGATGATTATACTGATGATGAAGATAATGATGTAGAGAGTGAAATTAAGAGTGAAAATCAGTTGAAGTGTCAAGAACAGTCATCAGAATCTCTGTTTTCTCTGTCTTTAGATTCCAGAAAACAGGGGTTTGAGTCAGAAACAGGGGATAAAGAAGTGAATAGCCCAATACCAATCAAGAATTCATCTACTAAAGACTCGAATTCGAGTGAATTTGATGAAAATACTCGTAAATACGTCAATTCTGTATTGAACCCAGTTGAGAATCTGAGTCAGTGGAAGTTTATTAAGGCAAGATCAAAGCTTGCATCAAAGGATCAGTCTCAAGCAAAGGAGAATGTGGTTTCATCAGGCCAAGATTTCAGCTTTCCTGTGAAAAAGGCGGTTGTTTCAGACCGAGAAATCGGGGTTGATACAAGCCTTTCTAGCTGGCTAATGTGTTCAGAAGGAACACACAAGAATAACAGCAGAAGCAGCTCAGTTTCAGTGGGAAATTCACCATCTGACAGAAAAACATGCTCCTGTTCTCCTAATAAATTTGAAGATAGACCTATATTAGGAGCTTTAACTCTTGAAGAGCTAAGGCAGCATTCGGCTACTTCCTCGCCGAGGAAATCGCCAAGCAAGAATCCTGATGATATCCCCATCATTGGAACTGTTGGAAGTTACTGGAGTCATACAGAGCAGACTACTAATTCTGGGTCAAGCACAAAAAGTACTAAAAGCAGATTCAGAGAGGTTAGTCTGACAGTATAACTGTCTTTGATAAATTCTGTTACATGTTACAATAATTGTTGGCTTTTTTTGTGCTTAATGTCTTTGATTATGGTATTGCTTGTGAATTGGTGATTTGATTGCAGAGTGCCGAAGTGATTTGGGATGCAACACCGTTCGAAACGAAGTTGGAGAAAGCACTTGAAAAAGAAGGCAGTGGTGAACAGATTGTAGCAATGTGATGGAAAGAAATGCTGTAAAACAGAAAATGTATGAAAGAAAGAACAAAAATCTCCCCCATCCCCAATTCTTTATTTATTTGCCGTATTAGTGTGGTCAATTGACCATGTCTAATACCGTGTGATCTATTGTAACTACTTGAATTTGGTTGTGTGAGTTGCAATAAAATGTGTGTTGATTTTTTGAAGGTCCTATTATCCTTTATTTTGATTAAACAGCTGAAACATAATCTAGTTAAAAGTGGGAATATGTGCGCGATTTTGATCATTGAAGATTTATGCAATTTAGCTTACAAATATCCTATATCAGGGTCAATTTGAGGAAAAAAGGCTTTAAAATTGGAAGAACAATGTGTTATATATTGAGATTTAGTGACACATTAGGTGGTACAGAGTGACAGTAGTCCAGATGTGAGATATTCAAGTTTATTTGCATCTTGTTTGTGAAGTGTTATACATAAAAAACTATGAAGTGTCCAGAACTTCAAATTTGTGAAGCATATTTAGAAACCAATCCTAATGGTTCAGTTTATAAATCATCATCATATATCCAGTAAACACCCTGTTGTGTGTACTCATCCCAATGCCTCTCCAAGTACAGATTTTGGCCGGGCTGGTTTCTTTCAACTCGAAGGGGTTGCCTTGGTTATTCTCTTCATGCTAAAGTCTTTACCTGCTTTCATGCATCCGTCGGACAAGACAAGGGGTTTCCTAATGTTGGTGATTGCAATGGTTCCTATACTTTGATGATACATTGGCAAAAATTCATTAGTGGTGGTTATTATTGTTTTACGTAGGCTACAGATGTGATTGCAATGGTTCCTACAGATGTTCATTGTATCAACCAGCAACAACTTTCGCTGTGGTCTCTCTCACTAAACTACACATACTTTGCCAGTTTGCCTCAAACATAAATCCAGGACTACAAATACAAAAGGAAAGAGATTTACACAAATCTATATCTTTATAAAATGCAATATTATCGGGATAAAACTATTTACAGCATACCACTTAATGAACACTGAAACATCTTTCAGGTCAGAAAATAAAAGAAACACGGCCAAGATAAGCACATTGGCAATTACCATGTTTTCACATAGTCTACATGTCATGGAAGAGCCGTCTAATGTCCTCGACTTCAGCAGGGATGAGTGTGACTGGGCACCGCTTATACTGCAAAAGCATCAGCCAAAAGGTTAAGCATGGATTCCATAGTCATGATATACCACACGAAAAGAAAGCCTAAAATATCAAGTTCGTAAAAAAAATAATAATAGCAGGAGCTATATACTGGAAATGTATTTCAAAACAGCAGACAAAGCCACAAGTCAGTGTGTCAAAACAGAATCCTGACATCTGAGAAGCAATGCAAGGGTTCAAGCCTTACCTGAGAAACATACTTGAATATGCAACCATAACAGAAAACAAATCCTGATACTGTAACAACTGAAGGATTTGCACGTCTTTCCGAACACAAAGGACAAACTGTTCTGTCTGACGGCAGTGGAATACCCTCTTTAGCCGCCTGTATAAAGTAATTAGTAAGCTCCAAAATTCACAATAGAGGAAAAATGACCAACTGTAAATTTGGGTAGACAAGCACTCTCCTTCCATAATTTTTAGGGGGGGGGGGGGATGATGAGGGGAATGCTTAGGATGTAGGTACGAAGATATTGCTTACTTTTGGGGCTGGAGGCGGTGGTGGTGGGGGATAAATTGTCGGTGCAGACATCCTTTCCTCTGCTGACTGGTACCACCACTCCATCATCTACAATCATGATCATTAGGAATGAAGGACAAAGATGATCAGTCATACTCAACAAGGCTAAGCTTCTCTAGATTAGAGCTTCAAAATTGTCAGATCACAGTCATAACACTTAACAGGAATATATTTACCTTGAATACAAATACGGCAGCAATTAAGCCTGTCTGTGAATAATCAAGTGCTGCATACATACAGCTGAGCAATGCTCCTTGCAATTTCTGAAACATCATGCATGACAAATCATGATCACGTAGTCAGATGTAGATCAAAAAAACTAACACAACCAATTCACATAATTTTTCAATAGAGCAAAAAAAAAAAATCAAAATCCCATATACACAATGTCAACATAAAATTACCACAATAGGTGCCATAAATTACGTTACTCTACTCTTCATTTCACCTTAAGTACCGTGTTAGATCCTCAACAATTTGACATGGGAACAAGCACTTGACACTATATCTTAGGATCACAAGAACAAGGAACCTTATCATGAATGAGTGGAATTAGCCAAGTCCAACACTTGCACATGTGACCATATCCAACATAAGTATGAGAAAATATTGAGTAACATAAGTGATGAAAAGCAACATAAGGAAAATTGTTTTCTTTTCTTTTTATTGATTCAACTCAAACTGAAAAAAGACAGAGGTAAGAGTGTTGGTACAATATGTGCCCTAGATTCTTCTTGTGTTTTTGAAATGGATGGGGTACTTTGTTAGCTGTAGCATGTTGATTTCTCAAGCCTTGTATTGGAAAACATGCCCTTTGAATGTTTAGACGGTATTTTACAGGCTATATTCATTTTGCAATAGCTCCGAAACACTTGAGCAAATGAGCAGAATAACTTTTTGTATTTGAATTGGCTGTTTAGGATTACTGATTGAAATGTGAAAACTAGAAAGTGAATGCTCCTGATAAATGCATAGCTCAAGTTTCTTTTGCTGCCTTTTCTCTAGCTGCTTGAGAACATTACAATGATTTCAAACAATATGAAATCTCGAGTGAACGAAACATATGGTATTCGTTTGCAAAGGGAGAAAGTTACAGACAGTTGAAATTCAACGAGACTTTTCCCCCTTTTGGGTGACTGGGATTAGCTTTCAGCTACTGTCTTTAATGACTTAATTAGTTCATGTAAGCCTTTCTGAAATTTAGTAACATCAATACACCTCTCTAGCCACCCAATTCCACACGGACCACAGTCACCACTGCTCATAAAGTGGAAAAATAGATACAGAAGATATACTTGTGTATGGGTAGCAAGAGATTGTGCTTTTTTCCTCATCTGTAACTCCGTAAGTATTGGATAGAGCATTACCTTCAACCATGGAGGACCACGAAGTCTCTCACGTTCACGACTTCTCATCCTTGATATTCTTGAAGAAGCATCCATCTACCTTGACATTAAAAGGTTAAGCTCAACATAAGAAAATACAGAATCTGTTTCACTGAAACAAAGACTCGTGAACAAAAGTAATACCAGTTCCTGTCCAGTAGCCCGACAGACTTGGATCCCTAAAGCATGCAATCCAAGAGAATAAAACCCAGTAGCATCCAACAGATACAATGTTTGATAAGCAAATGTTAATCCTGCATGTTGATAATCATTCACTTAAATGACTAACCAATCATTAAAAATACCATAGTACAAAAAGTTCTTCAGAAGACAAATCAATGACAAGAATTTATTCTCAAACACAGAAACATTTCTACCATGATTGGAAAATATATTAATTTAATACTCACCTGACCCAAAAGCAGCATTGCCAGTATGATTATTAAAAATAATTGTAAGCATTACTACTATGAATATAATGAAGAACAGCAGCATAAGGCAAATTCATGACCTACACTGATATATTATTGCACAACTGCGCCTCACAAGAGACGTGTGTGTGTGTGTGTGTGTTTGGTGTTGGGGGGCGGGGGAAGGGAATTTTTTTTCCTTGTTCAATTCGTATATACTATATAGTACTGTGAGTGTACTACCTTAGGTTAACTAAGTCAACCAAAGTAACAATAGGACTTCTAGTTCCCTTTCAAAGGGAATAAGATAAATACAAGCACATGGTTATCCATCAAAAGCCACCAAATTTCATCTTCTCCTGCCTTCCCAACCCCTTTTCCCAACTCACTATCCACCAAGCTCACAAAAACAGATATGTGCATGCACAGCGATAAAATACACTCCAACACAGACACACACATGCGCAGTTCACATCACCATTGACAAGTCTCACAACCAGGCTAATAGCAACCATGCCCGCAGAGAGAGAAAGAGAAATGGAATAATTGTCATTCTGTGCTTAATAGCTAAATTCTCCATCATTACCCTCAGATAGCAAATTTTACCTCACATTGCACTGATTCGATTCATGTCCTTCAGTAATTTGCTGATCTTCTTCAACTTGTAATTGATGATAAAGGATAAAAAGCAGGTAAAAGCGCTATTAACAATGGCAATGGATGGCTATTATAGACTCCATTGATGTTCAGGGAGAGAAAAGTAAAAGTAGTTTTTGTTGGCTTTGAGGGGGCTAGAGGTGGTATTCAACAACGGATACCTTTTCCTAATACAAAAAAGCTAAATACCATAACATAGCAGGACAAACATAGGTGAACCATATTGACACTCAGAACAACAATAGATCATATTGACTTTTGTCGGTTTATAACGTGATCACATCCTTATCAGAAAATTACAAAGCAAAAAGCACCATCAAAAGTTAATAAGCAACTCAGCTTTTAGATATGTAGTACCTTCATGGCCAGTATGTATCCAGGGGTAACACGCAGCTATAATTTTCTTTGCTCCCTGCAAGATTTGTTCTCTTGATGACAGATCTTGATCTGAAGTTCTACTCTGATCAACTGGATTCTCTGCCACATCTAGATAGTCAGCATCATCAAAGCTTTCATCACCTGGTCCCCATAAGCTTGCACGCACTGCAGTTTCCCTTTCTCTGCTATATATTGAATGCAATTTTGACTTAAAATACGGTAACACAACCTACAAAGTTTTTAAAAAATGGAGAGAAACAATCACATTTTCAGATGCAAAGAATGTTCAATCCTTACAAAATTAAGTTTGCGAGGAACTAAAGAATTTTAAATGAACAAAAGACCCTCTAAAAGGATCAGCTAGTAGAGAATAACAAATTTCTAGGGCAAGTTTTCCATCTCATTTCATTTTGCCTTTTTTCTAAAATAAGGTATAAGAAACTTTTTAATATTTGAATTTCCAAATACAACTTAATGGTTACGCCCATTTTATGTGTCATGAGCTGTACGTCTCAGCACAGAAAGGAGAAATTCAAAGAGGATTGCAATCTATAATATAATTACAGAGTCAATTAATGAGATTTCTCCAAAACCTCAATCCTCAACTCTCATGATTTAGGGTTTTTTTTTTTTTGCTATAACCTCCAACCTTTTTTTATAACTTCCACCTCTCCTATTCTTTTTCTTTCTAAATATACATGCTACGTATATATCGTGTGTTGGCACAGATACATTCTAGTATATGACAATTTAACTACTTCTTACAAAAACTAAAATTACTCAGTATTTACAGTCAGTGCCGATACAGATGATTTGCAAAATATATAAATAAAAGCCAAACGTAATTGAAAGCATACCAGAAAGACAACAGAAAGGACTCTTTGGTGCTTTTCTATCCCAGAAAGCTGAATCCCATCTGTGGAGTTGGAATGAAGATCATCTTTTTTCAATTTCAATCTTACTGTTCTTCTTCGCAAGCCATACAATGACTCTGAGAAAGATGCATCTGAAAACATACCAAGCAAGAGAAAAACTTCAGTGGATCCTAAGAAAGTAATGACAAGTTTTATAAAAAAATAAGACCGCAAGATCCTTCATTATTAGGATGACGTTAAGAGGAATGAATGTCAACAAAAGTCATAGGAGTAAGCGGTTTAATCTTACTAGTTACCACCAAGAACATTATGATCACTGTCCTAACACACTTTCCTTATCAATCCCCTTTTTAAAAGAACACAATCGCTTGAAATGGATCCTACATTAACTATTCTGGAAGTTTAGAGAGGTCAAGAATTCAACATATAGGTAGCCTTCCCCCTAAGGATCTTAAAATTGAGACTCAGCCCTATACATTGGCAAAATAATTGCTAGATCAAGTATATGTTAAAAAACAATCTGACACCAGATCAATGGGTCACTTCAAGATGGGCTCTGCAAGCAATGTACTTCCGGGGATTGCCAGATAAAGTATAAGTTCACACATATTTTAACACTTTTAAGAGAGCTCCAATATCCTTTTAAATTTATTTTATCATGTGAAAGCACATTGAAAGCAAGGAGAATGCAAAAATGTTATATAAAGATTACCCGTAGTTCTCATGCTATGAGTCTCCAAAACTAGCATCAACAAGGCAAAGTACTCATTCTCATAGTCCAACACTTTATGTAGAATTGGCCTTCTTAGAGCCATTACCTGTAAGATCACATACAATCAGACACTTATACTCATATAAACAAAGACAAGCAACACACCAATGAGTAGCTGGTCATAAACACAGAAGTAACAACAGCACAGTTTCTTCGTTAAATCGTTGTGGAAACATGTCTACAAGGTAGAATTTACAGAAGGTGCCATATTACCATGTAAAAAAAGCTTGATCACGAATACATTGCAGGGAACAAAATGACCATAATGTAATACCATGAAATAAACGTTTTTATAAAAAGGACATGAAATGAATGATTTTAAAGGACACGAAATGAATTATTTTGGGTTTAAACTTTAAAGGCACGAAAAGAGGAAAATAAGTTATTGATTAGGGGATTTTTATCCACCAATCACCGTCTAACAAGTGGACCAACCAGGTTCCGCCACGTGTCCTCCACGTAGGCCAATAGGAGCCTGCCACGTGTCAATCACAGATACGTCCTCTACGGACCAATTGAGACACGCCACGTGTCCACCCATGCCAAATGGGAAAACCGGCCACCCAGGCCCAACTTCCGAGGGAAGCCCAATCGGCCCTAGGTTTACCTAAACCTAGGATGGGCACGTTTCCCAAGGTTATAAATACCTCCCTTAATCCTCATTAAGGGGGGGGGGGGGGGGGAACAGAACAGAAACATTACGGAACACACTAATAACCGGCTGATCTCGCTAACAAAGCAGATTACCTACATTAAACACTCTCACCTAGAGAGACCTTATTACTTTAATTTTCCGCGTTAATTACTCCTTAATCAGGTACTAACTTGACCGTTGGAGGCGGAGCTCCCAGGAGTCTCCGTTATTTTGCAGGTACAGGCGTCCGGTTCCAGTCTCGGAATTGTAACTCTCCCGCAGGACATCAGAAAACCCCGAAACATTTGGCGCCGTCTGTGGGGAGAGTACTTCAGAGATGGCATCCAAGTCTGTACCGACTCCTGAAGAGAGGCTATTGGTCTTATTCTTATTGTGCGCCTTGTGAGCGCGTTTCGTCCCCTAAACGACCCTCAAGTTCAGTCGGACCATGACACCGAAAGTGAATTTGAAGTTGAAACTCATACAGCTTCAGACGGGACCCTAAGGGCCCGACGTACCCGTCATACCGAAAGGAGGGAACGGGAGCATCTTCAAACAGGAAGCGAGCCGGCAGGCGCACCGCCTGTTCGGCAACAGCCGACTGATGGGTCTGCTCCCATCACAAGGAACGAACTCATAACCTTCATGAGGGACTTCAAGGGAGAGATTCAAGAGTTGATCAACAAGAAGCCGCCTGCTTCAGTCAAGGAGCAGTTGGCCAAGAAACCCTCCACTTCACTGAAGAGGAAGCCAGTTCAAGGGCGAGAGGCGACTCCTCATCCTAAATCTAGGAAGCGGGAGCCACCTGCCCTTGATTTCACAAAATTCCGTTATCCTACAGGAAATAGGAAACCGGTTCGTCATATTCAGGCGGACGGGTCAAAGCAAACATTCACAGATGCTCGGCTACTGCTAGAGCAGAAGAAGAGTGACCGATTGTCAGAGTCGGCTTCTACTTCAAACTTTCAAGACAGTTTGCGAAATGCCTCGATGAGGCATACTCAGTCGTACCATGAGAGTCAGTCAGGCGACACCTCCCGTCAGTCCGGCTTTCATAGTGCCCAGGCGGTACCAAACTTACCATTTGTGCCGCAACAACAGTATTTTATGCAGCCACCTCCATTTGGTGGACCTGCAGCAAAAAACGTCCAACCTATGGACTGGCAGCTACGGTTGCTTAGACTTGGTGAACAGCCGTCGGCCTTCTCCAAGGAAATTACTGACGCCGCTCAGCCGGCCAAAGTAAAAAATGTACTAGTAGGCGCCTATGACGGCACTACTAACCCAGAAGACCATCTGATGGCATTCACCAACCTGATGTACCTTCAAGGGTTGGATGATCCCACTTGGTGCAAGTGTTTCCCAGCGACTCTCAAAGGAATCGCACAGCAATGGTTCGGCAACCTGCCGACTGGTTGTGTAAATAGCTTCAGGACGCTTGCTTACTTATTTGCCTCCAACTTCGCCATGAACATCCCTGCGAAGAAAACGACCCTTGATTTGGGAACAATTCAGCAGGGCGAGAAGGAGGGGCTTCGTTCTTACATCAGGCGGTTTAACCTGATGAGAATACAGATTCAAGGGTTACCGGATGAGGTAGCTTATACCGACTTTTTTAGAGGTCTCAAAGACGGGTCTACCTTCAAATTTGATTTGGTTCGAAAAAGGGTGGCGACTCTTCAAGAGGCCTTGATTGAAGCAGAAGCCTATATACAGGCGACTGATCTGTGTACGATAAAACAGTCGGACGGGAAAAGGTTCGACAAAAGAGAAGGACGACAGAAACAGTCGTCAAACAAAGATGAGAAAAGAAAAGAGGTCTGGGCGGCTGATTCCTCTAAACAGCCGGCCCAGAAGAAGAAAAAAGAATTCAAACCATACTCCCCAAAGTATGCGTTTAACAAGGATAACCAGTTTATCCTAAAAGAAATCAAGGGACGGATCTCAATTGAGAAGCCGGTCCCCATGAAGGGTTCTGCAAACAACCGGAACCAAGATAAAATCTGTGCTTATCATGATGACGTTGGTCATCACACCAATGACTGCATCAGTCTTATGCGGTACCTAGACCGCCTGGCTGAGCAAGGTGATCTTGAAACTTATGTCAAGAAATCTACGGGGAACACTTCCTCAAAAAAGCTGTCGGCCAAAAAGAATCAACAGGCCGACAGCTCTGATACAGATGATGCAGTCGTCCACACCATTGCAGGCGGCTTCTCAGGAGGCGGTCCCACTATTAGGGGTAACAAAGATAATATAAGGCGGTTAGATGTAAATTCCGTTCACCAAGAACGGCCGTCCAAATATACATTTCCTGAGATTGTCATCACTGAAGAGGATCTAGGAGGGGTAAGGGGGCCGCATGACGACCCTCTCGTTATTGAATGTAAAGTGGCCAACCAGAGAGTTGGCCGAATCCTCATAGATACCGGGAGCTCCTCATATCTCATCAGCAGCAAATGTCTGTCGAAACTAAAATATCAGACAGACTGCATACATCCGGCCTCCCACCCTTTAATAGGGTTTGGAGGAGGAGTCGTCCACCCACTGGGACGAGTAGATCTACCCATTCGCCTGGGCGAAAAAGGGGAAGGACGACACATGGTAGTCCGGTTCCTAGTAGTAGAGGAACTCTCGGCCTACAACATGATTCTGGGTCGACCAACCCTGAATAATTCCAAGGCTGTTATAATCCCGTCTCTTATGTTGCTCAAGTTTGAGAGGGATAATGGAACAGTCGGCTCCCTAAGGGGAGATCAGAGGATGGCCCGAGAGTGCTATCTCTCGGATGTCAAGCCCACTGTTATGGCCACTGGGTCAAGTGGTGAAAAAACAGACCTTGACAATGTCAAGGAGAGTGCGCCTGTTCAAGAAGCAGGCGGCAAAAAGAGAAAGGCGTCCCAGACAGAGTCCGCAAGAAAAGCAAGAAAATAGCAATCATTGGCAGAGGAGCGGCCGGATGAGTTCCGCCCTCAGCCGGCTGGTGAGCATGCGGACCTGATCTTAGACGACTCACGTCCTGACCGAACAGTCAAAGTTGGGACGACTGCTCTGAGAAACCTTGGTGACGACTTTCACAACCTATTGAAAGAATACAAGGACATCTTTGCATTTGAAGTCCATGAAATGCCAGGCATTAGTCCTGATCTGGCGGTACATAAACTCGCCGTGGATCCGAAAAAGAAGCCGGTACGGCAAAAGAAGCGGAACCATGGCGAAGAAAGAAGTCAGGCGGCAGCCGCCGAAGTTAAAAAATTACTTGATGCGGGGTTCATTCGGCAATGTTACTTCCCAGACTGGGTTGCAAATGTGGTGCTTGTTAAAAAGCCGAATGGCACCTGGCGAATGTGTGTAGACTACACAGACTTAAACAAGGCGTGCCCCAAAGACAGTTACCCTCTGCCTAAAATTGATAACTTGGTCGACTCAACAGCCGGCCATGCCTTGATGAGTTTCATGGACGCCTATTCTGGTTTCCATCAAATTCCCTTATGGAAGAAAGATCAGGAGAAGACGGCCTTCGTCACTGATCAGGGGTTATACTGTTACACGGTCATGCCGTTTGGTCTTAAGAATGCCCCGGCTACCTTCCAACGAATGATAAACACAGTGTTCTTTGATCAGATTGGGAGAAACGTCGAGGCATATATTGATGATATGATTGTCAAGACTAAACTTCAGAAAGATCATCTGTCGGACCTCCGAGAAACTTTCGCCACACTCAGGCGGCACCATGTCATGCTCAATCCCAAGAAATGTGTATTTGGAGTTGAGTCTGGGAAATTTCTCGGATTCCTTATCAATCAGAGAGGAATAGAAGCGAACCCTGAGAAGGTGCAGGCGGTCATTGACATGCAGTCGCCTCGTACCATCCGAGAGGTTCAGAAGTTAATAGGTTGTCTGGCGGCCTTGGGAAGATTTCTAAGCCGATCAGGCGACAAATGCCTATACTTTTTCCAGGCAATTAAGAAAAAGGCAAGGTTTGAATGGGGGCCGGATGCTGAGGCCGCCTTCCAGAAATTAAAAGTTCACTTGCATTCCTTGCCAAGGCTGGTCAGCCCTTTGCCCAAAGAGGTTCTCTACATGTACCTGGCCGTCTCTGATCATGCGTTAAGCGCTGTTCTCCTTGCTGAAAGGGACGGCTGTCAGCTCCCGGTCTACTTTGTCAGTCACGTACTGAAAAATGCCGAGTTGAGGTATCCCCTAGTGGAGAAATTTGGTCTTGCACTCTTCATGGCTGTTAAAAAATTGAGGCCCTACTTTTTGGCACATGCAGTCGTCGTGTATACAGACCAACCTATCAAGCGGCCCCTTACCATCATGGAGTCGTCAGGCCGAATGATCAAATGGGCCATAGAAATACAGAGCCTCGAAGTTACTTTCGAGCCTAGAAAAGCAGTGAAGGGGCAAGCCTTTGCTGACTTTATTGTAGAGATGACTCGTCCTCCTGACTCTCAAGTTCCAGACCAAGTATGAAAGGTATATGTGGACGGAAGCTCTACTTCAAATGGTTGTGGAGCAGGCGTCATATGTCAGTCGCCAGAGGGCGACAGATTCGAGTATGCTCTACGCTT